GCCATTCTGGTCCCAGTGGCCAGGGAGCTCCAGTCCCAGTGGCAGTCAGGGAGCTCTCTGCACAGCCCTAGCTGTGGATCTCAGGCCCTAACTACCTCCAGACCTCCACAACAAGCACTGGGGCCCAGCTCCCTGGCTGCCACTGGGGCTGGAACTCCCCAGCCACTGGGGCAAGAGTGGGGCCGGAGCTCTGCAGCCGGGGAACTCCAACCATAGCAGCAGCTAGGGAGCTCCGGACCCGGCCATCCAGCCCTGGTCTGCACAGCCCTAGCTGTGGATCTCAGGCCCTAACTACCTCCAGACCTCCACAACAAGCACTGGGGCCCAGCTCCCTGGCTGCCACTGGGGCTGGAACTCCCCAGCCACTGGGGCAAGAGTGGGGCCGGAGCTCTGCAGCCGGGGAACTCCAACCATAGCAGCAGCTAGGGAGCTCCGGACCCGGCCATCCAGCCCTGGCTGTGGAGCTTCAGCCCTGGGGAGAGCCAGGGAACTCTGGCCTGGTCACAGAGCTCTGGCCCCAATGGCAGTTAGAGAGCCCCGGGGGGGCTGGGGAAGCACGAGGACCAGGCTCAAGCCCTAGCCCGGAGAAAGCAGGGCAGCATGAGCCACTAGAGGAGGGCCCTCCCCTTATCCAGCAAATCCCCTCAATTTGGGACCAATCAGGTCTAGAGGGTGTCAGGCCAGAGAGGCCTAACCTGTAGTGCTTTTTACCTTCTGAATAAAATAGACTTGCACAAGAAGTGACAAGTGATACCTTACTTTGTTATTAGAGTCTGAAGAGAAAGTAAGCAGGCCTACTTAGGCAGAGTCTCTTGCTAAGATATCACAACCAAGGGTCTGGACAGCCTGGAAGTATCCTGGTCTAAAGGGAATGAGGCATGTCTCCACTCAAGAGAGGTGATGGTTAGGGCACCTGAAGCCTAGCATGGGTGCCCTTGCTAGACCATAACGGAGGAATACAGATGCAGAAAGGTATTTTTTCTAACTTCACCCTCTGAAAACTCACTGTGAGATCTGAAAGTCAGACTGAGTTCTTCCTTTCTCACAATAGCACCAATGATAAAAGATTCGGAGGACAAAATTATTTCTTCAGTTATTCCTCTTCACAGGTTACCACAAGTAGAACTGATTAAAATCTAGTAAACAATTTGGTTTATTATAAATAAAAAGGAATAGACTCCAGCTTAGTCTTCTGTAGTTGTCTTATCTCTATAGGGCTAACAGTGTGAAAAGCAGCAAAAGTTAAGAAATACAGATGTGTGGGGTAAGAAGATACCACTTTTTGCAAAGTGACTTTTCCAAGTAGACTCACACTTTATTTGCTCCCTGTCCCACAGCTTGGCAGGGGAGCACAGTTCCAGAGCCAAGTTTTTACTAGGGAACCTAAAAATAAAACCCTTGTGTGATTTTAGATTTTCAGGAGAATGATTTCAGATCTGCAAGTTATTATAAAGATAATGATTATGGCATATTACTAACAATTTAGACAACTGCCGTGAGAGCTGGGACCACCAGCGCCCATGCGGGACCCAGGAGCAGGTGGGCTGGAGTAGCCTCTGCCTGCAGTAGGAACCACTCTAGTCCAAATTCAGCGGTCAGGTGAGCCATTCCAGTCCCATTGTAGCTGCCCCCCACATACACACCGTTTTAAATCGGTTAAATGGTTAAACTCAGTGTCAGCATTGTGTTTACCAGTTTAACCCATTAAATAGGATTTTTCATCCCTAGCCTGGATGGGTGGGTGGAAACAGGTGCTGCAAAGCCGAAAGAGGAGCAAGGGAGTCAGAAATATCAAAAATATGTATCACAGCAAAATATGTATGAAAGAGGAGCAAGGGAGTCAGAAAAAGCATGTTTTATGAAATATCAAAAATATGTATCACAGCACCAGACAAATGTACCCAATAATAATAATACAGTAAAACTCCATTAGTCCGGCATCCAATGCTCCGGGACTCCTGATGGTCCGGCACCATCAGGAACCCGGAAGTGCTGGGGCAGCCGGACAGGCTTCCCGCATTCAGCTGCTGCTGAAACTGACCAGCAGCTGAA